AGAATTCTAGAAATATGTAACTGTATAGGCTGAACATACCCAAAAGAGAAATGGTGATATCCCAAAATTCAGTCTATGTTATTCTTCTTTAAAAGTACAAGTAGAAATTAAGATGTCTAAGAAGACCTGTCTTAACAAAAGAGATCAATAAATGTCACTAAAGAGAATGGCTACAGAGAACAGCGAAAGAAGGAAAGAAAGACAGACAGACAGAAAGAGAAAGATTGATTTTAAAAAACGGAGACATTTCTGTTATAAATCTCTATTGATTGTCATGGATGAAACAGAAAAGTAAAAAGCAAAAGAAGTCAATGTTCTAGTGAACATTTATAGCAGTTTTCTAAAGTGGTGAGAACTATAGTGCAAGATTTACTTCACACAGATAATTAGCGTCAGTTGGCAATATTTAATGCTATCTCACATGCAGTGCATGTGAAGCGGTTCTTTCTACAATGGCTTATTTCTGTCAGCCTTTTGGCAACATAACAGACTTACTGACTTGACCGTCACAACCGGCCAAGAGGTGATGGAAACCAAGGTTTCCGCCTCTTACGTCACACATTGCAAACATTAATGGAAGGGGTAGTGCAACACAACCAAAAGGCACAAGTGGAGGAAGCCCGATCTAGGCAAACATTAGACAAAAGCAAAATCTGCTGATTCCAGCAAGAGAAAAATTAAAAGAAGCTCTTATCTTCAAGCCTTCGAGAATACAAGATCTAATATCATTACAGACAAATAGTATAGCTAAGGAAGAATGAACCTAGTTCTGTTGAGATAACAATCAAGCTGATGAAATGTTTGGGAGAAGATGGAGCAGACAGTCTAAAACTCAGCTCCCACCAAAACATTAACTGGTGCCAATTAGGATTATCTGTGCATAATCCTGGCTGTAGCATGGACTCTCCTGTGCTCACATCACTGCACTGTGGCACAAGCCTCACATGTAATTCAAACGTAAGACTTCCTGTGTTCAGCTGGGTTTACTCCATACAGCACTCACCAAAATTTTGTTTCAAGCGTCTACATTACTTATAAGATATTCTTACGGGGCAAAGAATAACAAGGCAACAATGTTATTTTGAAAAATAATATAATAACTAGTAAGATTGTTAGAATTTGGTATAATAAGTAACAATTCATTTTACCTCAAAATCTTATGGGGGGAGTGGTCATTTGGATTTTTAATTTCGACAGATTTTTTCAAACTATTAGTACCACTTTCTTAAATAGTAACATTAGCAGGTAACAAGCAATGAATAGGACTCCCTGGATCCAAATGCAATGTTAATGGGTTCATTTGAGGAGTATCATTTACAAGCTCTGTGCCTGGGCGTGTATGCACAGGATTCCAGCCAAAGGCCACAGGAGGGCTCTTCGTTGGTTTTGTTACAACAGGCAGAACAAGCTGAAATTTATAAACAGATTAATCAAACTCCAGAGGCAAAATCAAAACAGCTGGAGGAGGGAGTGCCAGAGTGCATTTTCTCTCCATTACCACCAAAATACACGGCTTATACTGGTACTGCACCAACAACCAGCAGTTACAGTTCTGTTGTGTGGAAGAACAATTAAAAGGCTATTTCAGGGATGGAAGCACACAAAATAGGACCACTAAAAGCAATATTATTTTAAATAAGAACCGTAGTTAATTTAGGTGATTCTACCATTTAAAATAAAAATAAGGTGCCATACCTGATGAGGAAAAAATGGTTACTAACAGACTAAGTTGTGGAGATCAGTGGCTATTTGCTCTGCATTTATCTTTTTATGAGTTACCTGTCACACTTCTATGAGCAGAGCTCTCAGTGCGCGCACTGCATGAGGCAATACTTGGACTTGACAAAGCGTAATTGGTGACTTCCCCTATTCCAGTGATTTGCCTCCACGGCAGCTAAGGAAGATAGGGAGCCATGACACAAGGGGGTGTCTGGTCTGGACTTGTCCCTCTCTCTTTAGCCAGGACGACGAGGGGAAAGTAGCTGTGTGTGAAAAGAACAATAGATTGTGCTTTGTATGAGGCTGGGAGATGAGTTCAAGCTCTGACACGCATCTTGACATGCGAGTTGTCTCCTAGGAAATCTGGTGGGGGGAGCAGCAGGCTTTGTCTGTTGGAGCATATAAGATGTGCCTCTATCCCTAACGTGTACATTTGTAGCAAACAAACATTACAAAATCCCCATAACCTTCTAGTACAGGGACAGGGAATCAAAATCGTAACTGGGGCAGGGCAATTGGGTCCTTCTCCCTAGGGGGCCAAAATTGAGAGGGTACAAAATTTAGAGATAACGGGAGAGTGTCCGGAATAAAAACAGCCATGTTTTTCAGTACGAACATACTTTTCAAGGGAGCTCTCCATGGTGGTGTCCCAACATCTCCCACCACTTGAGGTTAGGAAGGTAGGTATTGTCCCTCCAACACTGCCCTCCCACAAGAAAGACAAAGGGTATAGTCCCAGAAAAAGGAACAGAAACATCCTGGCACCACGTCCATACTCTGCCCTACCAGACAATAAGGGCTAGTGCAGTACAGTATGGGTATGCCCAACCTCCAGATTCTAGCAAAAAAAGGAGGCGGTTGTGGCAACAGACATCTTGTGGGGCTGCTCTGTCCCTTCTCCAAGAAACATGAGGAAGAGCCTAAGGGCAGAATAGGTAGGAGATGATGCCACTTGCCCTTTCGGTCCAGATTGCTACTTACAGCTGTGTGGGATATGAGTGGCCCTGTAGATATTGCTGGAGTGCATTTCCCATCATTTGCTATTTTGGTTTGGGCTGCCGGGAGACATCATTCAAAAACATGAACCCTTCACATGACAACAAGTAGAATGTCCAATGAGAAAAGGGAAGTCCTGCCTCTAATTTTGCGTCATTCCAGGCACATTCTAGGCACAAAAGGAGGAAAATTCCAGGAACAACACATCCCTGTGTCAGCCTCTGTCAGCATGAAATCCACAGAGAAGCATTCAGGAGCCAATCCCTGAGGAAAAAGTAGGACCTGGTTAAATGTTAACCCAAAGAAGGCATGTTTTTCACTCCTTGGCTGTTTGTTGCAGTCGATTTCCAGACAGCTTGCCTTTGGCGTTGAAGTTACTGGAATTACCTTCTTCTATGGGACTTTAACTTGGCCCTATGTAAGGCACAAGCATCACATGATGCAGGGTTGGGGAGGAGAAATGGGAAAGGCTGTTTTTTTTTCCATACATCCCCCAGTACAGAACACTGGTGAGGTACAAAGCCTCATTCAACAAATGGGAGGAAAGTATGGGATAATGGGGTAATGGGATACCTTTCCTTCCTGGACCATTACTTTTTGCTGGGAAAATGAGTACATGTCATATGTTCTCTGAAATTCTGGAAGTTGTAGTTCACAAAGCAGCTTTTCCAAGTGCTGCCTCTTATGATTTTAACTGGCTCGGAGAACAGGAACATAATATGGTTAGAAATCACTTTTCTTGGTTTCTACAGTTATATATGCAAGAGTCTATTAGAGACAATTGAGTCCAGGAAAAAAGTACCTTAACAATCAAACTAACATGGCAGGCAACTTCTAAATGGAGTGTTAAATAGATATGGACAACCCACTGTGAGCTACATTGCTTCTCTAACCAGTGTCGCCAAAATTTGGTGGCTATTGCCAAGGTTCCCATGAGTGCTGGCAAAACTGGGTAGCCATTGCTATGACTCTCTGTGATGCAGGGGGGCACCAGAGCACCCTCCTGCACCACAGAGGAGGAAAGCAGAGTGTCTCCTTATTGGAAAAGATGGGAAAGAGAAAGAGGTGAAGGAGGTTTGAGGAGCATACTGCCATTTTTTGGAGATGTGGACCCTGTACTAGCAGTAGTGAAAGGCAAAAAGGTTACAGAAACAGTCCTGTGGGCGCACGAGGCCCACTGCACCAGTGTCAGGGAGTCATCAGGAAGCCCACAGTGGTGTTTTTTCAGAGGAGATCTTAGAATTCCATCTTTAGATGAAAGATGCTTGTATTCAGGATATTCTCAATGGCTATACAGGGATGGCACCTGGCTCTCAGTGTGGCCATATTTAGAAAGGGGTACAAATTGCATGTTTCCACTACACACAAATTCTTCATTTCAGAGATACGGCGGTGGCTGGCAATGTGCTATTCTGCACTCTTTGTGCTATTCTGACTATGATGTGCAGCATAACAGTTTTTAGAGTGCCTCAGGGATAGTAAATAAAATATCAGCATGTGAATTTTTTACGGTGTAGTATCTATATTTTGTTTGCAAGTGGTCCATACTGCTACAAACTGTTTATTGTAGCAAAGCCTTGAGATGCCCCAAATAACGGGGCCAAAATGAAGAAAATGCCTCAGTGGATAGCTAGGAAAGTCAGCTTTGGTCCACCAAAGCTTAACCTACAATGAATCCATAAATTGCTTTTGGAGAACCATCTCCAAGGTTGCTAAGCCACATTGTTGTTGGTATTGGGGGCATACCCTCCCAGCAAGATGCGGCTGCTTCTGAGAGGAGCGGCTACCCATTCTTTCTCTTTCTCACAGAGATAGAGAGCTAACTTCAAAGCCTTTCTTTGACCAATCCTATTTGGCATTATGTAACCATTATCCTATTTTAACTCTGTCAACTATCTGTATATTATCAATAATCTGTAATTTTAATAAAAGGGAGTCCTCCTAGGGGGCGCGTTGCCCCGGAGCTGTATCCAGAGCTAGATCCAGAGGCATATGGAGGCATGTGTGGAGGACTCTGCTAATTTGCATTATGTAACCATTATCCTATCTTAACTCTGTCAACTATCTGTATACTATCAACAATCTGTAACTTTAATAAAAGGGAGTCCTCTGGGGGGGGGGTGCGTTGCCCCAGAGCTGTATCCAGAGCTAGATCCAGAGACATATGGAGGCATGTGTGGAGGACTCTGCTGGCAGACATCCATGTGTGTGACTGACTTTTTTAACTTCTCTAAGACTATTTGCCATCTTAATTATTTGTGATCACATAAACTATCAGCGCTATCTTAATTATTTGTGATCACATAAACCTCTCATTTCGTGACCACAACAAATTGCCATGAGCCTCTATGGCTTTTTCTACAACAGTCTTAAAAATCTTAGACCTTAATCTTAATCTTAGAACTGCAAAGAAGGGACCTTATGGATCGTGGAGTTTAGCCTCTGTCATGGAAGCACAGCCGAGAATTGAACTGCCAACCTCTGGCTCTGCAGCCAGACGCCTAAACCACTTGAGCTTTCTGGCTTCTCTGCCACAATCCTGCCATCAGGTGCCTCAATGGACAGACACCAAGAATGGTAGAGAGGCCTTGGAGGGCAAAGCTCTGTGTGCCACACAGCCTACCCCAAACTTCTCTAACTAGCCTACTGCCCCGAGGGATAGTGGAGGATGCTACCCTGCCAGCAGTGCCAAAAGGATATTCACCTGCCCAGCTTGGGTCAGCTTTTATATACAGAAGCTTGTCCTTAATCTCAAGCAAAGTATCTTTCCTTTCCCTCAAGCAACAAAAATTCTTGGGTCCGTCTAGGGACGTCTGGAGTTTGTCACAGCCAGAGATAGCTGACAGTTGCACAAAGTAAATTTTTTCATCAGCTGCATGAAATTCACATAGGGATGAATGATGTTGTACATGATGTACTTCAATCTTAAAGTACAGGTGTGTATTTTCATAAGCAACTCTAGAAATGCAAAATCTCTGGGACAGCGTTTTGTTTTAGAGTAAATGGAAATAATGTGTTTCAAAATACACCTACAAAAATATCTGCATCACACAATTATAGAACTTTGATGCCTGTCTTAATTGCCATGGCTCCATTGTACAAAACCCTCTGGGACTTTTAGTTTGTTGAAGTTCTTAACATTCTGTGCCCTGGTTCAGAGGAGGGCATTTGAGTGCTCTAGCAAAGAAGTCTAAGTCCCACATCAAGCCAGATATTCCAGAATCCCATAGGATGAAGCCATGAAAACCCAAGTGTTATCAAACTGCTGTAATGATGCAGTGTAAATAAACTATATGATGCAGTGGCCAGTTTGGTCACAACAATTTTTTTAACCTCTATACATGTTCTCAATTTAGGAGGCAACTACATTTGCTTGGCTATGTCAATAAACACCAATAAATCTGGCTCTAACCAGATGGAAGGTCTACTTCTCTTGTGGCATGCCACCAATTTGCCAACAAAGGTAAATTGAATAACATGCTTGAATAAAATAGAACCTTCCTTTTTCTGCTTCTTTTTATTGAAGGTCAGCTGGGATGTGTAATTCGGAGGGAACAGTATTTCTCCTTTTTTGACAGAACAAAACTCCTTGCATCTCAAGTGTGCTGATCCAAAACATGTTTCCTTTGGTGGATAGGTCACTTCTGAAAATTTTGTGCAAACATTACACTGAAGATCCACACTAAACTAGTTTGGAGTTTGGAAATGAGTGTAGGGGAAGAAAATGGGGGCAATATAAACCACATTATGGTCCCAGTTCAAAGAATCTCTCACACAAAAAGGCACTGTGTGCTACCAGCATGCATCTGAAAAGAAAACTAAGAGACCAGAAGTATGTTTGCATCTGTGCTAAGTGAGACCAATGGGGAAATCCCACCATTGCTTCTTATAAGCCCAAGCTGTGAGATCACTGTGTTTGTTTACATGCTGTGGCATTCTGCAGTGCAAAGAAAAAGGCCTCTGAACTTGCTTTCTGTTCTTTGTATCGTGGGATACTTGCACAGATTTGCACACACAGCCCCACTATACTTTTAGGAGGACCCTTGGATTGGGCCACATTTGTTTATACAATTCTCAGAAGAAGCAGAACGGCCAACTCAAGTTAAGGAGAAACTAATGCCAATTCAGACGATCTCCTGCAGTTCCCACATTCTGTTGTGAGAGCTGATGTTTGCAAATGGTCCCCATTCAGTCAGATCATTTCTGCTTCGATCATCATTGAAGCCTACATTGACTTCAGTGGTGGCAAAAATGACTTTGCCTTTGATAGGTAAACCCCTCCATATCCCACCATCCACTGATATAAAAATTGCTTCTACGCCCCCCTAAATTATGTTCGCTCCTACAATCTAAAAACATTGCAAGAAAATAAAATCTTCATTCATTCATTAAGTCTCAATTGCCGTTACCTAAGGATAGGTTTGCAAAATATATTTATACTTTTCTCAATATTTCTCTTCTAGCTACCTCTACATGACACCCTTCCCCCATTCCCCATCCCAGAGGATTCTTAGCCACAATACAGTGTACCTGTTGACACCATGAGTGGATCACACTGTTTACAAAGGAACATGTTCCACCACCTGGCCCAGACTGAACGGCCAAGGCGGCTTAGTGTGACGAGAGGAGGGCAGAGAAAAAAGGCGGTCACGTGACAACTAACACCCTGTTGACAAATAGTATTAAGAAATAGTGACTAACGTAAATTCACTTCTGAGACAAGAGTGCCTAGGGGCATAGTCACATGTGCAGTTTCTCAGGGATGCTCTCTTTGGAGCCCATCCTGGCCTTTGCAAAGCCCCCAAACATTCAAATGGCTTCCCTGGTCATTCTGTCACATGGAGAACAGTGTAATTGGAAAGACTTGCAGGCTCCCAATTTTGGCATTCCCAGATCTCGTCCGCCTCCTCCTTTCTCTGTTCCTGACCTAAACCACCAGGAATCGGCCGTCATTGACAAGGCGAAGTCTCCTCCAAGCCCAGCAGCTCCTTTACGAGTCTCTCACCAAACTGCACTCGGCTGTATTTCTTCACATGATAGGCATCAGACATCTTGTACAAGATGTAGGCATTGTTGATTGCAATGCTGATGGCAAACCAGAACACTTGTTGCCAGGTCTTGTTTGGTTTATGAGAAATGAAATACCTAGAAAGCACAAAAAGACACAAGAGGGTTGGCAGGGCAGGGGCTGAAAGAATTCACGTATAAAATGATTCTAAGACAAGGAGGGTCTGTGTTTTAAAAGCTACTGAATCTACCTGCAAGGAAGAATGATAATGATAAATAAAAGTCTGTCCTTACATCTTACACAAAAGGAAACGGACAGTGAATGACACACCAAATTATATATCATCCCTCCTCTGCACTCACACATAAATTTCAAGCTCATTCTTGGGTTCTTCCAAAATCTCAGTAGGCAAAATCACTGTGAAAGGAGATTATGATGATGTAAAACGGCCCCCTCCCTTGAGAACATTTCTTCATTGCCACTGTTGTTTTCCCAAAAACTCAAATCTGCTCTCTTAGCTTTATGTAAGACTTGGGTGTACAATTCAAATTCAAGGTAGGTGTGCAGTTCTTGGCCAACAGTGCCCTTGTGTAGCTAAACGCTAGGGGTGGGGTCCTCTATGGGAGGCTGTTGATGCCTTGGCATAGAAAAGGTGAGCAAAGCCAATGGAGGATGGGGCCAGAAGAAAATGCAGCCGGAACTGGCTGCATGACAGCATTAGCTAGTTCCTGTTGAGAGAAAGATTGCAGTCATGGTTCTAACTGGCTCTTTTGGGGTTGTGGGTGAGTGAGGAGAAAAGAGAAGAGGAGGTCACTCTCCTCATTTTTTCCATCCTCCAATAGTCCTGCCAGGTTTCCTGGGGGCAGGGCCTGGAAGCATTGAGGATTATAGTGGTCTCTGGCTCTGAGCACCAGATCCAAAGGTGGTAAGCAAGCAGTTAGGCCTTTGAAACAAAAACAAAACAGTTTCTAAAAGGGGAGGGTGGTTTCTGTCAGAGGGGGCACTCCGGGGCTCCTAACATTTGTCTGCCCCTGCCTGGGGCTGCCATGAGGCATATTCCTGATTCCGGTCTAAACTACATCAGGACTGAACTATAATGCCTTTTTAAAATACCTCCTGAAGGCTAGGTTTATTTTTGAACTCACTTATTTTTGAACTCACTTTGAATTTCAGTCAAAAGCATCTGTTAATACTTCTGGTAAAATGTGTGCTTCTCTGGCACTGAGCATCAAAAGAGAAGAGAGAACAAATGCTCCATCTGGAAGAACCCTAAATTCAACTTCAGATGAAACAGTCCAAAATAAGAAGAAACTCTTATTTTACTTTTTAATAGCTTCCAAATGGTGAAGCATCATAGCCTGTTGTAGCAAAGACAACAAAGAGGTATGTGGCACCTAACACATTCATTATAGCATCCAAGAAAGCATACAATGCAATACACTTGTAACTAAAAGTGCTAGGAGACTATTTGATGATCTTACAATAGATGATGACGACTAGTGCAAATAAAATGACAAACTCTGTACAACCTTGTGGCATGTCTTTGGCTACTATCTGCATGCTTCAGAATGGTGTTATAAAAGGATCTCACCTGTCAAACTGGCAAAATCAAGCAGCTACGGCAATAACTTTGGAAAAGTAGTGGGCTACAACGGCCAAGGGATTGGCATAATGGATTTCAATGGATCCTAGAGGATCCATGGTTTCAAGAAAGGAATCCTCACATGTTTTTTTTTCAAATCTTTTCCTCCTTCTCAAAAAGCTCAGGCCAAATACCAGCCCACTTTCAGTCTTCTTTTCTGCCCCACTTCCTGGTCTGCAACACATTCTGCTCCTACCGTTTGGGGTTCAATTGGATGTTCTTTGCCTCTGTGTTGTCAGTCACCAATTGTCTTCTCAGCAGAATCTATCTGGAAAAGACATTCCTTGCCTTTCTGTTGTTGGCCAAGAAATCAACACAGAGAGTGTAGTCAAAAAAGGCTGGGGAGACCTTCTTTTCCTACATCTTTCAAAACAAACTTTCTTCACAATACTGCTCTTAGCATGGTATGCTGCAACCAGAGAAGGCTTACTGAATCCGTGCAATTTATGAAGGAGCTGACTCACCAAATACCGACTAATTCAATGGGCCTACTCGAGTTGTGACTTATTACATAAAGTAACAGAAGTTCTTAGGGACGTGGTGGCGCTGTGGGCTAACCCACAGAAGCCTGTGCTGCAGGGTCATAAGAGCCGGCAGTCGTAAGATCGAATCCACGCAACGGAATGAGCCCCCGTCGCTTTTCCCAGCTCCCGCCAACCTAGCGGTTCGAAAGCATGCAAATGCGAGTAGATAAATAGGGACCACCTCGGTGGGAAGGTAAACAGCATTCCGTGTCTAAATCACACTGGCCATGTGACCACGGAAAGATTGTCTTCGGACAAACGCTGGCTCTATGGCTTGAAGAGCGGGATGAGTGCCGCCCCCTAGAGTCGGACACGACTGGACAAAAAATTGTCATGGGAACCTTTACCTTTACCTTTTTAACAGAAGTTCTGCCACTGTATGAGAAAAATGAAGCAATGATGTTTTTGAACTCTTCCCCATTCCCCAAATTGCATCTAACTAGACACAAGTACCATGTTAGTCTGCTAGTTCTTCAGATAGAGATGGGGGACAAGTGGCCCTTCAGATGTCATGTGACTTTAATTCCCATCATCCCTCACCTTTGGCTTTGCTGATTAGGGATGATGGGAGTTGGCAGTCCAACAACATCTGGAGAGCCACATCTTCTGTAACAAATTATTGCAGTTATTTCTTAGGAAAGATGAAATGAATAAACTAAAGCTAGGATGGAGATTACAGATGTGAGATTACAAATCCCATAATCCCTCACCATTGACCATGCTGGCTGATAGGAACCGCAGTCAAATCACCTATGGAGGGCCTAACATTTCCCAGTCCTGGGCTAAAGTATAATGAGATACTGCCCTGGAAAAGTCAAATTGAAAACCAGTACAGATGAGACCTATTACTAAATAAATAAATAAAATCACTGTCTCTATAAATCTGATTGTGCCAAGTTGGACTAACACCGCTCGCTGCCATTTCACAGTGCCAAAACTCTATGTTGGATGCCAGGAAATCTTGCAAACCAGCCAACTAGAATGTCCTTCTGGCATATCCTTGGTTTAATCCTCACCCATACTGTCAGGAAACCAGCGCGTGAATTCTGGCCAGGCTGCCTTCCTGGAATTTCCAGCTGAACTAAATGCTAATCCGTTTGTTGCCAAGCAGAGGTGTGCTCTCTGTCCAGCTCCGGAACCAACAGGATGAAGATTGTGCCCAGCTCTCATTGTCTTTCCTGCAGGCCCCGGCTCTGGCCCAGAGGAAGACTGATGGGTCCAGGCTGGAAAGGGTGGTGCCAGACACCCTTTGCTCAGACATAGAGGGCTCTGTTTCTGGATTGTTCCTGGGGTTGTTTTTTTGGGGGGGGTTGTTTTTAAAGAGGCAAGTCAAAAGTGCTTTCTCTCTTTTATTCCCTTTGTGTAGTACTTTTTTCCGGCGACACGGCTGGGAAGAAGAGTTGCATTGGCCGAACTCCATGGCTAAGATCCTGTTAAGAGAGATGGTGGGTGGAAGGGCACAGGCACAGCACTTGCCCCCATCCTGTTGGCGGCTCCTCTGCATGCTCCATTTCACAACCACTGTGTGAAGGTTGCATGAAATGACAGCTTTCTGGAGGATGAAGGTTCCCATGGTTGCCCTTACTACAATCATACAAGTGAACAGGATTCTGCCTGCCGTGCCTGAAGACTGAAAGGAGAAATGTTGGGAACATCTGCCTCAACTTGAACCCTGCTTGGCACGTACACTTCAGGGTCAAAACCAGATTTGCTGTTAAGTTCACAAATCTACTGAGCCTAAGCCTCCTCAACCCAGCACCCTCCAGATATTTTGGACGATAGCTTCCGCTGAAGACACCTGGAAGGCAGGAGGACAAAACCTTTTAATACAACTGGCCTACTTCCTTCCTTTAACAACAGGGGAAGTACTCAAGCTGGACATGAGGAGGGACAGCAAATATTCTCCCCACACACTGCAATCTTGCCAAAAAAAAGTGCCCCCGCCACCCCACCCAGCCCAAAGCTTTAGGGGAGAAGCTGCTGGGACAAATGAAGGGTAGCAATTTTGGTGGAGCTACAGGTATTGAATGAAATGGTTAAACATGCACTCACCCTGGGCCTCACTGCTGCTGTGATGAACATCAGATCCTTCCACAATTGCTTTACAATAAATTTTTTAGAACATTTTTAAAAAGAACATACATTCACCCTCACAACTGCTCAGCATCCTAATTCAGCCCTGTTTTACCCTTGTAGGAATTTAAAAACCATTTTCTAAATAAGTAGCCTTAAAAACTTAATACACTGACATTGGTAGCTTTACAAGCACAAGAGGGTCCTCGTTCCACCACCACCACCCCCCGGAAACATTCCAAGACACAGTTCTTTTCTGCAGTGGGGAGAGCAGCCCAGGAAAGACTGAACTACTTTATTTTCTCCAACTTAAAACACACTATTTTTGCATATGACTATGAATTGAGCTGTTGGCCACAAACAAAGAAAAATTCTGATTCAGTCTCTGCATCTCTGAGTTATGTTATAGAGTTTCAGATTAGCTGCTTAAACAATTTTTAAAAAAAAATATTAAAATCCTTTCACTCAAATCTACTTCTCACTCACAACTTCCAGCCAGACAGCAGTACAGTGGCTGATTTGGCTGTCGGTAAAGACAAAATCATGTGAAAATTTGAGGGGAGGCAGCATTCCCACAATATGGCTAGAATCCTGGTAACAAACACACACTGTAACTGCTCCATGGGCAAAGGATTCCATGCACACTGCCTGGCCTCTCCAGCTTGTAGCTGCATTAGAGAGAGATCATCCCACTCCAAGCAACTGAGTTCCGCTTGTGTAAGGAGGTAGTGAATCACCCCTTGTGCATATGGCAGAGGAGTGACGTTGCACACAAACACACACACAGAGTGGCCCAAGTTGGGGGGGGGGAGAGCGGTGGAGAATGAACAAGATTTTGGTCTCCAGGGTTTATCTCTAACTTATCCCACTGCTTACTTACTTGCTGTATTTGTCATCATATTTGCAAATATAACTAAGATGAGCAGCAAAAGCTTCTACGGCCAAGGGACAGGAGATTTCTCCACTTTTCCTCTTAATTATTACACCTGTTTCAATAGAAATACAACAGAAATACAACTTGTCATTTGCAGGCAGCCACTGTGATATTGATTGAAACACAGCAATATTTGGCGAAAGACTGCTACAATTCTTCTTACATCTATTCAAATGCTAAATCCTATTTAGCATATAGAGATTACAGGAAACTTTTATGGAGAGAGGAGGCTATGCAGATAGTTTTCAAGGATTTAGAAAGCTATAAAGCTAGAAAACAAAGAGTAAAAAATTAGTTTGTATTGTAAAGAGGCAGATTTAAATTAAGTTTGTTTGTCAATAAGTAAACTGTTTTTCAGTGTCACACAGGGTCAAACTAAACAATAGACAGCATGTTGTCAGAAGTGGGCTGAATGAGGGTTGCTTGTCATAGAGCATACTTTATGATTGGCCCACTAAAGGCAGTTTTTATTCCCAAGATGGCAGGGTTTGGAAAGCTTTGATCTGGTTAAGTTTTCATCCCTTTAAGATGATTTGTTGGGGATAGCATCTCAGTGGCAGATAATAATTGCTAATTATTAAAATAATTATTAATTATTAAACAATGTAATTAAAACCCCAAAGTAGCTGAGACCACCCTTTCTGAGATCTCCCTTTCTCCCTTTAAACCATCCCCTCCTCTCTTTTCTTTTTAAAGGTCCATCCTTGTTTTTCTCTCTCTGCCACTCCCTTCTCTCCTTCTCTTTTCAATACTCTTCCTTCCTCTGCTCCTCCTTATCTCTGTCTTTCCCTCCCCCTCCCCCCCCCAAGCAGGTCACCAGGAAAGGGACAGACGGTTTTCACTTTCACTAGTTGCCTGTCCGTGGAGAGCCGAAGGCCCATCCCTGCCAGATGCAATCAAGCTAAATGTCTAGTTATGAGCCTCAGATTAAATCAGACAAAGAACATATTAACCGAGCAGTTCAGCCATGGAACAAAATAGAGAAGCCACGGATACTCCACCACCAGATGTTTCCATTCCTTACAGAATCAGATGGTAGCAACGCAAATACATTTGAACAGCAACCTCTCCAGAATGGCGACTTGCCTTTTATTAATTGGCTCACTCTCTACACTGATTGTGATAAATAAATTCAATTGAAACCAAAATAGCTGTAAGATTGGATCAAACGTTTTCTATAGTGCTTCTCAGACACCACAGAAATGGCTAAATGCTTGTTCATAAAATAGCGATTATGTGTTGTTGTTTAATGTTTGACTAAATGCTGTAAATGTGTTCTTCTGTTGATAACATGCATCCACCAACTTACCTCTAGTAGGCATAATAGACACGTAGTTAATGCAGAGGAGCACAATATATTCAATTTTAAGCATTTCTAAGTACCACTAATTTCAAATGTGAGATTTAAGTACTTGACCAGAGCAATTCTATTCATGGCAAGGAGTTCAGTGGAATTTATGCACAGTTAAATGCGTACAGGACTGGATCCTAACTTTTCTTTTACATTATTGGAGCCTCAGGTTCAAATCATGTGACATTAAATGCACCTTTGGTTTTAACGTCTTTGCATATTTGCTTTTGCATTGAACCCCAGTTGTTCTATTTTTAAACCCTATTCAAGTAAGATCAGCACTGGCTGCATGTGAGATAATTAACAGGATCAGATCAGGCAAGAATTTAACCACTTCCTCCAGTGCTGTTCCTCCTTCGGTGAGAATAGGAGAACTCCTCCCTATGGAAATATGAACATCAGAAGTGGGGTTTTCCTCTGAGCCACAGAAGGAATGGAAAGAGTTATATTCTTTCTCTGTATCTGCTCTGATACAAGTGATGATTGACTACTTCCACATTAGGCTGTAAGTCACATTTAATGTCATGTCTAGCGTAACATTTTATTGCTCCTAAAATTGCAACTTGCAGCATGTACAGTGGTGCCTCCTTTACGATTGCCCCACATTATGATGAAACCGCATTACAACTATCTTTTTGTGATCACAACTGCGATCGCAAAACGATAGTCTGAATGTTTTTTTTTCGCTTTGCGATGATTGGTCCCCTGCTTTGGGAACCGATTCTTCGCAAAACGACAATTTTCCTCCAGCTGATTGGGGGTTTCAAAATGGCCACCGGGTAAATAAAATGGCTCCCCGCTGTTTTCTGGGACGGATTCCTCACTGCACAGGCACCGAAAATGGTCGCCCTATGGAGGATCTTCGCTGGACGGTGAGTTTCCAGCCTATTGGAACGCATTAAACGGGTTTTAATGTGTTTCAATGGGCTTTTTATTTTCGCATCACGACGTTTTTGTTCTACAGCAATTTCGCTGGAACGAATTAAAGTCGTAATGCGAGGCACCACTGTATCTTAATTCAGACTCTGGTTTCTCTTCAGATTGCACAAAACTAAGTCACATCATGCTATGAGTTGCTCACCTTGCTGAACCGGAGAATAAGCGTTGGTCAGAAACCGAAAATAGCCTTTATTGTACCAGCAGATCAAGGACATGTTTCCTTTCATCTTTATTTGGTATTGCCCTCGAGCCTGAGGAGCATCTGAGTTGTTTAGCATAGACGGAGGCAGGCCTGTGCAGTCACTTTTCCTTGTACTTAGCAACCCACAACAGTAAATCTCTGCAAATGGGAAAAGGATAATTTATTTATATTTATTTATTTGTTACATTTATAGTCCACCCATCTAGTCGTATTGACTACTCTGGGCGGGTGACAACATATCAAATCTGAGTACAATTTAAAATCATAACAACATATTACTAAAAACAAAACAAAACACAATGATCCAGATGAGAGTAGGCACAAAGAACAAAATCAGATGGTGGATAGAGGAAAGGCTTGCTTGAACAGCCAGGTTTTCAGTTGGCGTTTGAAGATACCCAGGGAAGGGGCCATGCGAATCTCAGGAGGGAGGCTATTCCAAAGACGAGGAGCCACTGCCGAGAAGGCCCAGTTTCTCGTTTTTTCCTTCCGGGCCTCCCTCGGTGTTAGGCTCCTCAGTCTCACCTCCTGGCTAGATCGGGTGGTACGGGTAGACCTAGGTGGGAGAAAGTGTTCCATTAAGTAACAAGCCCCTCAACCATTTAGGGCTTTATACATAAGCGTTAAGACTTTGAAATCTATGCGGAACCAAACAGGCAGCCAGTGCAAGGCAGCCAGAGTGGGAGTAATATGTTCATACTGTATTTCCTTACCCCACTAAGAAGTCTGGCCACCGCATTCTGCACCATCTGGAGTTTCTGCATAAATCTCAAAGGCAGCCCCACATAGAGAGCATTACAGTGGTCAAGGGATAAGACATTTCTATGCACAAACTATTCTGTGGTTCTGGAGTGGAAAAGAACAGAGCTGCCTGCTGACCAACCAAGTGACAAGCAGTTGGCCAGAAACATACCCAACAATATTGCACTCTCAAACAATAATCTGGCTTGCTTGCTTGCTTAACTCCCTCCCTCCTTCCCGCCCTCCCCTGACTGGGATCCAAAGCACCTTACAAGACAGTTATCTTCTACAGGACATGACAGCATGAGAACACAACATATTTTAAGGAGAGAATACTGACTGGAAATGGGAATATTGAAGGGTAGAAGTTTTCTCAGTTATGATGTATTTCATAAAGAGCAGCGCTCTTGGTAATTAGAGCAGGAGGGGACAACTTCCTGAGTTCTGAAAGCTGTTCACACAGTCCTGGATCCTGGAGAGCCTCCTATGTTCCACCGCCCCCATTGTTATTTTTACTGTTTACTCAGAAAGGTCCTTCGTGTCCTCTGGACGGTTGAAAGGAATTTTATCAGTTATTCCACCACAGAGTGAGGGTGCTTTTTGATAAAAACTGGAAGGGGTGCTACCTGAGGGAGTCTGAAGGTTGTTGTCCACAATGCAACTTTCCCAAACTCTGTTCAGAGCTTGTTGGATTGTAATTCCCACTGGCCAGTGGCTATATCAGATGGGCTGACAGGAGGTGGAAACCATCTTTATGGCCACAGATTCTCCAGAGCTAAGCTACTGCTTACCACAGAAACCCCATTTTCTACAATAGTGTGAACTCCACAGTGCCACATTAAATAATTAGTCCTTTAATTTAAAACCACAGGTACAATAAACGTCAGAGTCAATTGAACACATTCCTTCCTTTAGCTCAAACAGAGAATTTGGAGGCAGGGGCAACCCTACAACTTACACAACAGTATAAATATCGTACACAAACCATCTCTCTAATACAACACAACAAGGAGGCATCCCAGATTTAAGAATAACTACATGTTGTTGAGTTGATTCCAACTTGTAGCAACCCTTTTCAGGGTTCTCTAAGTATAAGAGTACCCAGAAATGGTTTACCATTCCCTTCTTCTTGCCTTAGGCCAGTGGTCCCCAACCTTGGGCCTCCAGGTGTTCTTGGACTACAACTTCCAGGGTTCTCTAAGTATAAGAGTACTCCCTTCTTCTTGCCTTAGGCTTAGGCGACACAGGCTGGCTCTTCTCCTGGGAGGCACAGGGGCAACTGGAACTCCCAACCTCTGGTTCCACAGCCAGGTACCCAATTCACTGAATGATCTAGCCAGACTGACAACTTAGAAAACAATGACAGTTTTTGTAGCAGTTCATTTCGTGGCATTGCTCAGCGCATGCAACCAGTGAGGATTAAAAAAAGATTAAACTCTGCAATAGAACCACCCAGTTGCCATGGCAATGGGCAATAAAAATTAAATCCATTGGGATTTACTATTTTGTTCTGTTTCATTAAATCTGAACCACAGGCAACTTCTTATCTGGTACTGTGCCTGGGGCAGTGAAGCCTCAACCTCACAGTACATCAGTCAGTCTGGAAGGCAGAGAAGGGCTCAGCCAGGTTTGGTCACAGCCCAATCTTGTGCCTAATTACTGCAACGGTACCACTGTGACCCTCCTTGTTCCTTTGCACTATCTTAAACTGGTGTGGCTACCTTTGCAAAGAAGCCATCTGCTAACTTGCTTTGGCAATCTAGCTCCATCTTCCTCGCTGGAGGAAATACTGAATAGCTTATCTGCTTAACTGGTAGGATAGCTCGGTGGTTTAGGCATCTGGCTGCGAAGCCAGACATTGGGAGTTTGATTTTCCAGTGTGCCTGTAAGTAGAGCCAGCCTATATGACCTTGGGCAAGCTGTACTCCCAGGATGCCCTCAGAAGAAGGGAATGGGAAACCACTTCTGAGTACTCTGCCTGGGAAACCCTGAAAAGGGCCACCATGTCAGAGTTGATTTGACAGTACATTATTATTATTACAATTATTTTCTTAAAATTGTTACTACACTTAAGGTCCTGTTCCTGCAAGTAGAGCCAGCCTATATGACCTTGGGCAAGCTGTACTCCCAGGATGCCCTCAGAAGAAGGGAATGGGAAACCACTTCTGAGTACTCTGCCTGGGAAACCCTGAAAAGGGCCACCATGTCAGAGTTGATTTGACAGTACATTATTATTATTACAATTATTTTCTTAAAATTGTTACTACACTTAAGGTCCTGATTTTGGGAGGAAGGGTACAGTCACTGAGTGTAAAGTGGCAGAGAAGCAATCTGGTGTAGTAGTTAAAGAGTGTTTTACTGAGACTGAGGTGATTTGGCTTCAAGCCCCCATGGACCCACAAAACACACAGGGTGATCTTGGACCCATTCAGCCTGACCTACCTCACAGGGCTGCAGTGAGAATAAACTGAAGGAAAGAACAGCTACATATATTGCCTCGAACTCTCTCTAGGATAAGATGGGATTGTGGCTAAATGAACCGTTAGCCAACCTGGGCTCTCATACAGATACGTATTGGAGGAGTGGGAGTAGGAAGAGAAAGTACCAAACGAGTTCTTCTTTTCCTTCCCAGAGAAAGGAAGGAGAGCAGGATACAATGTTAAGAGAAAGGAGGACTGATTGGTAGTGGAACATGTGTTTTGCATATAGAAAGTCCCAGGTTCAACCTCTGGCATCTTCAGGTAAGGTCAGATCGGCTAATGCCTGAAACTCTACAGAGTGGTCACTAGTATGAATAGACAAGCTTCCCCCGCCTCCGCCTCTGTGGCCTCCAGATACATGACTTCAGGCCTCATCACCTCGAGCCATCCTGGCCATGAGTTATGCTGGGAGCCAGACATTTCCACTGCTGACCACGCTATGGGAATTCTAGATACCAGGTTAGGATGGAATGATCAACGCTATGCTAGATATCAAGGCAGCTGCCTTTGTTCACCTTCTTCTTCTTCTTTTGTAATTTCCAAAATATGGCACAGAAAGTAAACAACTCAAATTGCAATCCTCTGCAGAGTTACATGGAAAAAAAAGTCTACTGTATCCAGTGGGAGTTGCTTCTCAGTAAACATGCAGATGGAAGGTCTGATTATGTGTGTATGTGCATAAGCAACGTACCATTGAAAACAGCAAATGTGCATCTTATTAAAATTAAGGCGAGAAACCCAAATCTTACAAAAATATTCTGAAGAGATTCCCATCCCAACACTTTTCTGAGTGTCAAGCATCCTTCTGTGATTCATACATTCCAATCGCCCACTTGCTTGTCATGTACAGTAATTGCCTTGGTATTGTGTGAGTTGCACATTACATTGTGCACACTAATAATGCACTTTCATGAATGTCAAATGTAGAATAGAGTGACCAGTTATTATGGACAAATCAGGCCTTTAATGGATGAATCAGACACAACCTGAAGATGTAAAATGTGATCTCCCAAATTTTCTTCTCTCATTCTGAAGGAGAGACACATGGAGCTACAATATAGACTGAGTCAACAGCAAAAGGGGAACCATTTCTTTCCCACCCTGATCTACAAGACACAACCCATATATACCCAAGGGAAGTGTCTGCATTTTTTTCTGTTGTGGGCTCATAACAGCTCTGAGGTGTGTCTAATGGCAGGCCAGGCCCTGATCACAATTAGCCTTAAATCCATTTATTACACCTTTCCAACCCTGTTTGAGGGACAACAAGAAGTAATTCTGAAGGACAGGTTTGGCTCCAATGATCAATATATTTGATGCTAAAATTGAGTTGGATTGCATTTGTTATGTGAGGTAGGTGGAAGATTGCAAAATGCTACCTGCAGCAAAAAAAGCCTTGTATTTCATTGTTGTCCTAATGTATTATTTCATGCATAGATCTCACACTCTCCTACATCCATGAAATACTGAAGCATTACCTCTAGATCTTGCAAAATTTACTATTCTGGATTGCAGCCCCCAGAATACCTCAGTCAGCATGTCATCCCGCCAAAATGGCTGGAATAATCTGGTAGTTGCAGAACGAGAGAGTAAAACCCTGAGAGTAGGCTGAAATAATGGAGAACGCAAGTAGGAAGTGCCATTTTTGAATGCTTGTCCATGTAAAAACCCAAACAAACAAATTCTAGGATTCTAAAAGTAACAATAACAAATGTAATAATTCAACTAACTGTGTTATCTTCTCTGAATAATGGTGGAACAGCCACTTCTCAAAGACATTTAAATATCATGACATAAATATCACACAATATTCTGAAAGTCAGCAGAGGAGATGTCTCCAGGATTCTGGGCACTGTAGTCCAAAAAAGGGGGGGGGGACTTTACCAAGTACTAGATTAAACCTATCCAAGGATATGATCATTATAAACCTCATAAAGTGGAAACGTCTATGAAGTCAGTATTATATGTGGGTAGCAAACAAAAACAGCCTGCCTACTTAGTTTTATCAGAGGATAAGATTTGAGGATCTAGGGGGACACTTCTAGATTTTGATGGTTCAAGCTCAACATGGAGCATCTCACAAACCTTGCTTCTCAAATTCTTCAAAGAGATTCAGGCTGGTAATGCTGGGGCCAGTGAAGATGATGTAGTTTTTGCCCGTGGCATTCTGACAGAGGCTTCTGGCCACCATGCTGTGAAGCTGAGTTTTGTTCTTCAGAGCATCCAGACCTTCAGTCCCGCTTCCTTCTTTCAGATGGACATAGATCTTAATGATCACATAGAAAAGAAAGGGGGAGACCAACAGAAGAGAGAAAAGTCAGTGAGTTAAAAGACCAATGGCTATTCTTTCACCTCCTCAGGAAATGAACCTCATCGTATGTTCTGGCTACCCCAGGAACACTAACGCTTTTTTGTTTTTTAAACTCTGCATTTAGAACTGCAATGAGATACACTTTTCTGTAGCTAAATTAGTAAGGAATGCCATGTTCTGAACAAGGCCCAGTTTTCTGAAATTGTTGGCATTTTACTTATTCATTCCTATGTGATTATTGTTAGCCATCAGTGATTAGTCAATGCTATTTTTAACTGACAAGATTATCAATGTAATAAATAAATAAACAGAGTTGCAAACTGCCACTTAAATTGGCTCATCTCTCCTATTTTATCCTGGGTTCAAAGATGTAACATATATCATGCACAACTGAGCTGGATATGTTTAGTCTTGAGGAAAGATGACAGAAGACCGATATGGTAGCATTTTTCAACTATCTGAAGAAATGTTACATGGAAGACGGAGCAAGTTTGTTTTCAGTAATTCCAGAGAGTATGACCTGAATTCAAACAGAAAAGAGATTTTGTCTAAATATGATGACAGTAAGAGCTGCATGACTGGAAAATGGATTGCCTTCATCAATGTTTTTTAAACCAAAGTTAGATGACCACATGTAAGGAATGCTGTAGCTAAGTATTTCCTGCTTTGGCAGAAAGTTGGACTTAATGACTCTTGTAGTCCCTTCCAGCTCTGTAGCTCCATGCGTCAATGATTCAGTGAATTTGTGACTCCCTTCCTCTTCACCCATCCTGTACCCCTTCTCTTTTACACACATATACCCCTGGATGCTTGTGACTCCATAAACAGCTACAGTACCTTCAATCTTAAATTAGGGGCTTAGTTGTGGCAAATTTATATCATCATTGGTTCAGACAAATCTTCATGCCTTGCTAAAAAGGAGTCTTTGTAAGACAAGAAGAGCTGCAGAAATTTTGCACTGTTTCCATATAAAAGTCCTAACCTTTGAAAAGGAAAAACATTTGACTTTGGACAACAACCTTAGTTATGCTATCTGCAATATCTGTGGTTCAGCAACAACTCAAAGGCTGGGCCTTCCCTATATTTGCAATAGGCAGTTAGGGCTACAACAGGATTTACAGACAATGTTCCACCTAGATTGCGCAATGGTTTGAATCAGCATCAAGCTATGTTAAAACGTGTACCAATGAGCACAAGGAAGAATGAATTCTATGGTCCAGCAAGATGGATACCATTACCCTGGAGTGTATGCCAGGAGAAGTAGCTGGTACTTTCTATTTTTCCATCAGCAAGATCAAAAAAACATAGTGACAGTTGCAGATAAAAAAAGAATAATAGTATTTAGAGATGAGCATGAACCGCCAGTTAAGTGGTTCATGCTGGTTCATTTATTGACCAAATAGTTGTTTCATACTTGAAAGCCAGCAGGCACTCACTTGGAGGCTATGGTCTGGTTTCCCTGCCCTGCCTCTTCCCGGTGCTGACACTGAGTAGGCACCCACCAAAGGAGGCAGGGGGTGGAAGCACTGAACGCCTGCTCGGCCAATAAGCTAACCAGCACAAACCAATGAACCCACAGTTTGTGTCCATCTCTAGTAGCATCACTAAAATGACGGCCATTCTGATATAGTTTTATCAGTACTCACAAACAGCAGCACAGCTGTTGACAATGATCCTATACTGTCTATTGAGGGCACCAATCTACATTTCATTATGGACATACATCTCTTCCACATGCTAGGCCACAGGCATGATGCCAAGAAGAACCAACTGGGTCTTCTCCAGCATAGCAAAAACCATAGGCTAGTGGTTGGGAGCAAGCAATTCAGTGCAACAGCCCAAAATATCAGCACGTGACTCAGACAAAGTTTTAAATACTCTCACAGCCCAAATATTAGCAGCTTGCAGCATCAGAGCCATATGGAGAAGGAAATATCAGATTTCTGACTAACTTGCACTATTGATTGGTATCTAGTAAGAAACTTGCATGAAGACTATGTAGTTGATGGTATTGGAGTAGCATTCCAATCACACTGAGAAGCAAATACTTCAACTAGATGACACAGTTAGTATGTCATTATAATGATACCTTCTTAAGTGTAAAAAAATAATGTTTGTGAAAACACCTATTTTAGATCAGGCCTGTGTGTTGCAACACAGTGAGCTTTGTTTTGCGATTGGCCAGTGGAAGTCAGACATGGATTTCATTGCAAGCCTCATTCTCCAGACTTGTTTCTCTGAAGAATCACATTGTGGGAGGGGAAATGGGCTAATGGCAGGTGACAAACGTTTGCTCTAATCTCCAGCTTGATCCAAAAATTCCAGAGAGGCCATTCTAATGCTAACAGCATACTGCACTGCTTTATGAGAGGAACAAGCTTTCCACAAGAGAAAGGAGCCAAGTAGACAAGGCTTTCAGTGATTTCACCTCCCCTTCATCCTCTATTGTGACCACAAGGAGGAATTTGAGAACTTGTGCTTCCACTGTAGACTAACACCATTCGGTATGTAACCTGAACCTGCAAAAGTTAATTTTAGTTAATATTTAGTAAATTTTATAACACATTTTACCTAGAACAATTGCACACCAGGGTCCATGCATCTGGCTTGTTTCAACAAACCAAAGTTATGAGCAACCACAGTTTAAGATTCAGATGCAACACTAAACCGTGGCTAACTCAAATTGGATCTGAAAGCTTTCAATCTCCTCCTGGAATCTCTACCAGGGAAACAGGGAGAGAGTATACAAATGTAGGGAGACTATAGGGCCATTTAAACCAACCTAAACCTTAGGTTATTATGACGCATAAGCACAGCCATTATGTCTCTATTTTCAGTTTGACTCATCAGTACTTCCTTGGCATAAAATTGTCTTATACAAAACAGCTGCCAGGAAAGGGGCACCATCTGAAAGTCATATTTTTAAAGCCTATTTCCACAGACATTAGAGCTGCCTCTGTAACAGAAGCATGTCAGCAATAACCAATGCACAAAAAAGTGTCTTGCCCCCCTGCTTGACAGAGAAGGTTCCTCATATGACTCTCAGGAGTGGATATTCTTTAAAGCTATGGTTTAATTAACAGTTGGAATACATTTCTCAGATGCTCAAACAGAGAAAATGGCAAAGCTGCAAGTGCTGATGCAGTTGGGGAGGGAACTGAAAATGGGCTGCTAGGAAGGAAGACACTGAAAGCATCTCCAGTCAAAAAGCATTGACACTGTGACCCATCAGGTTTTATTTGTACTAGTCCTGTATTTTCATCATTTGCTTCTTTAGGAAGACATACAGTATATGTTAAATACAGAATAACCCTGTCTGTATGAGGGTAAATTAATAGTCTCCGCCTCTGACGGAAACCTCTCTCTGACTGAAAAGAGACAGATGGCTAATCCTTCTGCAATTCTGTCCCTGAAAAAGAAATTCACCCCAGGCTTCTATTTTGCACTCTCAAAGCAGAACAAGTAAATCAATTCAGGCTTAATGAGAGAGCAAACAAGTGTATTCATAACGTGAGGACAGTCAAAGTCATCTCGGTTTTAATGTACCACCTTACCAGTTTTGTACAGTTCCTGACATTCAATGGCATTGGAGGAGGGTCTCTGTTTTTAATTGCCACAGTTCTGTAAAGACTCCAGAATTCATGAAAAAGGAATTATGTGGAGAAGAGAGAGGAGAGAAAGGGAAACACAATGAAAAACTCAAACCTATTCTCTCTCTCTCTCTCTCTCTCTTCTCTCTCTCTCACACACACACACACACACACACACACACACACACACACACACACGAGAACTTGCACAAACAGGATCACATACGCTCAGTGACCCAATGCCATTTTGGAGAGTATCAACTTAAGAAAAGTTAGTTTTTAGAAACAAGATTTGGCAATATTTCAGAGCTCAAATCAGCACTTCTGATACCATGAAAAGAAAAGAAAAGGTTAGATTAGATTAGATTCTTCTGAAGTGTCACTTCCTGGTAGTTTCTCATCCAAATCCTTACACAGCTTAACAGAACTAGAAACGCAGAAGTGCTGACTGCTCTTTATTGCCTAGGTAGACAAATTCAAGAGATCCCAATGCAAGACATATCCAACCAAGATGTAGTATGGTCCTCTTATGTTCTCCAACCTCTCCATTTGCAAATTTTCTTTAAACTCATAAAGCCCCCCCTTCCCTGTTCATTATACATTTTGCTCTTCCTAAATCTGGGAGGAGAGAGTAAAACCAGAAGGGATCTGGAGTCACTAACGATTTTGGGGAAAAACCTTCCCTCCTTCAAACAGCTCAGGGAGGAAAGAAACAGGGTGACCTTGTCTGTGGATCCTCTAGAGTCGTGGTTCTCAACCTTGTGTAACTCATATGTTCTTGGGCTGCAACTCCTAGAAACCCCGGCCAGCACAGCTAGTGGTGAAGTCTTCTGGGAGTTGTAGTCCAAGAACACTTCAGTTACACAAGGTTAGAAACAAGTGCTCTGGAAGGTGTAGAAAGGGAGTTTAATTTTTAAAATGTAAATAAATAAATAAATAATATTGTTGGGACGCTTTCGGGAGGTGGGGGTGGGGAGGCCACACTTGAGTCCCTGGAAGGCCCCACAGTACAGCCTTCAGGCTGTACTTTGTTCACCTATGATGTACTGAAATTGCACCCTATTTTGGAAATTATTTTTCATTAGCAAATTCTTTTCTTCCATTCTTGGCACCACAATTGTTGACAGGCTGGAACAGAACCAGAAAAAAGCTGCAAAGATGAAAAAGTTAAGTCCTGTGAGGATAAGCTGAAGAAAATGGGATATGTTTAGCTCAGAGAAAAGAAGATTAAGAAAGGACAGTTTTCAAATATTTAGAAGCAAACCAGCCAGTGGAGGGGGCAGACATGATAATTGTTCACCTTTCTCCACCAAGGAAAGGGAGCAGGGCCAATTTAAGACATTTTGCTGTCTGAAAAGAAGAACGAGGTAACATTCCTTTCTCCATTCTGCTTATGGAAGATAAGTGGATCTTAGTTCAATGCTGGCAATGGAGTAGCATCTTCTACAAGAACAGAAGCCAATGAGAAAGTTTAAAGGGAGACTGCATGGAGCTCTGTGACACTGTTCTTTTCTATTCCAAAAGAGGAGAATGGCAAGGATGATCAGAAACAATAGCCAAATTGTTGTGAGCCCCTCTCCCCCCATAGCATTTGCTCACTGAGACAGTTGCTGTACTGTGCCCAGTGGTAGGATTGTTCCTGACAAGAAGCAACCCTTTCATGGTCTAAGGAAGTAACTGTAATAGCAATTCAGGGCCAAACTACACTGGAGCATTACAAGAGGGGAATCAATTACTTCAGAAGGTGGTGAGTTCTCCTACACTTGGAGGCATTGAAGAGGAAGTTAGACAACCATCTGTCAGATATAATTTAACTTGGATTCCTGCACTGAGCAAACAGTCGGACTTAGTGGTCTTACAGGCCCCTTCCAACTCCATTATTCTATGATTCTACAAAGAGAGTAAACTCTGCATTTGGAAATGGTTATCTGATTGACCTTGCATGAGCTTTTCTCACTCCCATGTCTTTGCAAATTAGCTTTTTTTCCTTTTGTGACTGGTCATTGGCCATTTTGTGACTGGTTACTGCATGTCTGACTCCTTAGACATGAATCAAGTTATTGGATGGGTAACTGGGCTAACTGTGAGCTCAAACGTTCCCCCTTCTGGAATAAACTGGCACAAGGATCTCTCTCTCTCTCTCTCTCTTTGGGCTAAAGTAGCCCAGATCCCAAACTTTTGTGCTGGTGTGTGCGTCCAAATCAGCCACCGCCACCTCGGTCTCCCTGCTGCTGCCATATCCAATTAGATGGGTTGCTAGAATGGGGAGGTAAGGGGTGAGAGGGCATGGGCACAGATACCTGAGGGGTGGGCAGACCAGAAGGTGACTGGATTGCAATTGGGCATGCCAGTGAGCAAATGGGGGGTGAGCAGTGGATGAGGGGCCAAGCAAGTAAGGGGGGTTGACCAGGTGAGCAAAGGAGCGGGTGGGTGGGAGGACAAGAGGGTGATTGATTGGGCATGTGGGTGAGTGAATGGGGGCACTCAACTGGGTTTGTCCAAGCTCTGTTGCCCACCAACTTCAAACTACAGTAGTGGCTGTTGGTGGTGTCACTGTTGGTGTCTAGAGACTATCAGGGCAGATGCTTCTTTGGTGTTTGCATCTGTGGCAGTATCTTGTTTTAGGTAAAACGAATCTTTTTGCTGCTATTTAGATTTTTCATTCATTCATTCCATATATTTACATTTATTTGATTTTTATACCGCCCATCTGGAGAAATCCATACATCATTCCTTTCTCCAAATAAAGGAACTTCAGACAGCTTACACTATATTTAGAAGACAAATGCTACAAAAATTACAATCAATTAAAATAACAAAAAGCATTATACATGTCATCCAAAACAATTTAAAAACGTATTTAAAAATAAATAGTACAGGATGCCACATTAAAATCCCAACCTTAGCAGCCACTCACTTGTGAAAAGTCTGTCTGAATTACAAGTTATTTGCTTGTCAGTGAAAAGACAGGAAGGAGTCACCCTGCCTAGCCTCCTTTTCCTTTTGTCAGATATTACCATGAACTCTTAATGGATAGTTTAATTTTAAAAGTGAGAATTCTATTTTTTTTAATCCATGGAAGCCACTGTGGTTAATTAGGACTAACTGATGAGATGCCAGGGTACATCTTGGTCATATACCCGTCAATTAGCTGAAGCAGCTTAGGCAAACTTTACGTGAACACCAATACAGTTCTGGCCAACATATATTTATTAATGCGAGGTGTTTACCCTATTTGCAAGACTAAATCTTGACCTGTAATTGGCACTGAAGTGCCTGGATATGTGGCTTATCTGATTTTTTTCCCCCTGAGGTTGCCATCAGCTGCTTTAAGAATGATGTTACCATGACAAAAATGGCATGTAAATAAAACTGAGATGATGACAATGACGGTGACCTTGGATTCAAGCCCACATTTATAGGGACCATTTTGATGTGAATGAGCATTCACACAGATAGCTACTAAGAAGCTATCATTTCTTCTCATTTAGATCAATTATCTCTTTATAGGAACCAATGATTTAGACTGTACGAAAATCTTTTTGTTGCACTGAGCAAATTATTGTTTTCTTTGTTCACTGAACAGCAGGCATTCCGTGAATAAGTGGCTGTCTTCCACATGGCCTTTGCAGCACTGCACAGGGAGGGCATCAACATAAAGCTGAGTGTGGTTTTTAAGTCTGAGGAGAGAAAACCTCACATCTGTTCTTGCTGACCATTGATATTGACACGTTCACACTCTGAAGTGTTCGTTTTCACATCTTTTTAAAAACCCGTTCTCACTTGACCCTTTGGAATAGAAAGACGGAGCTGTCAAGATGTGCACAGACAAAGGCTCTTGAGATTGTTCTGAAAGTTATTTGGATGCAAGTCAAACACATGTGCCAATTCCATTATTTCACTCAAGCTGTTGAGCTTCATCTGGTGATGTGCTGAGAGTGTTGTCTGTTTTCATTGACTCTGACAGCTTGAAGACGTATGTTAATGGAGGTGGACTGAGGGCAGAATATAAAATTTATTGAGACCTCAGCATCACTGAGATCTCTCCAGTACATCTACATATTGAAGAAACGTGCTTTATGATCTGCAGAGTTCCTACTATACCAGTTCTCCTTCATATTTTGCTGCTTATAGGTCATATGAAAAACTTGCATTTATAAGATAAGAGCAGCCTGGGAACTGGCACAGTGTGGCTTCTTCCATCAGTCCTCCAGTAACAGAAAAAAACTTGAGATTGTGATGAAAGAGTTCAATATATTTCAACTTCTTGTGCTGGCGAGAGAGCTACAGTATGTTACTCCAGGAAGTAACTGAGAATGACAATGAATTTCAGAAATCCATCACCCATTAGAGGCCAAGATCCTCTTTCTTTCTCTCTCTCTCTCTCTCTCCGAGAATGACAATGAATTTTAGAAATCCATCACCCATTAGACATCAAGATCCTCTTTCTTTCTCCCTCTCTCCCTCCCTCCCTCCCTCTGTCACACACACACACACACACAGAGAGAGCAATTTGAGCCCCATTTGTAGTGGGTTCATCCTCCTCACTAGTATGCAGCCCTTCTTTCTGTCCAAATCTCTTGTCCAAAATAATATACCTACATGAGACTGATGGGGAAGTGGTAATATTGCTTGGTGCAAATATCAGAAGGCTTGCAGACCTCAGCTTTAAAGCCTAGGGACACTCTTCTTCAGAGCTACCCATCCTGGTTGGTTGCAGAGATTTACATGTGTTTTTTCGGCCTGATTTTTTTTTTATCAGGAGGAAGCACAGGACATGACAACCATCTGTGCATTGGAATAGGGAGGATGCTTTAGAGCAGTGATGCCCAACCTTGGGTCTCCGGATATTCTTGGACTAAAACTCCCAGAAGCCTCCACCACTATCTGTACTGGCCAGGTTTTCTGGGAGTTATAGTCCAAGAACATCTGTGGAGCCAAGATAGAGAAGCACTGATGCAGACTGTGATTTTGATGCTGACATTTAAAAAAAAAATCTTTATTCAGGTTTCTGATGGAAAGTCACCCAGACTTTTGTTTGACCTCTGCTTTACAGCAAAATGTCAGGGAGGGCTGAAAATGAACTCCTTCAGAATGATTATTTTCTTTGCTTTTTGTTACAAGCACTTTATCCTTCATACGTCCTCATAGGGAACAGACATCCAACATTTTACTTCCTACTGAGGGTTTGGGGACACCATGCTCGCACAGCTATGGGACTGAAGGCTTTATATATATATATTGTATGCTATAGCCTGTCATAAAGTCCATACCCAGCCATTTGAACTTGGACTCAGAATATGGCAAAATGGTGCCCATGCCCTTGAAAGAGATCAGGGAACTTTCTGAGCAAAGCAGTTTTTTAAAAAAAGATAACATATATTTTAGGAGACTAGAGGCCCTCAAGGGTGCCCAGGAGCCATATTTAGGCCCCTGATGGGACCCAGGCTGCATTTGGCTTTACTGGTTTAGACCAATTCCAGTGGTTCTTACCTGGCAGATAAAACCAGTAGATGAGCACTGCCGTACCCAGAGGCTGAATTTCCGCTTCTTCCTCTTGCGCAACTCTCGCTCTGTGCAGGTGGCAATGAAGACAGGATCTTCATCAATCAGAGGTTCATGAAGGACCTACAAACATAATAAGGCCCTGTTTATTTAGTCTGCTGTGCTCTGAATACCTCATAAACCAGTGTAATAAAGCAGACCATGTGCAGTACTTGGGACTAATCTCTGTACTAGAGAGCCTGAGTTCCCAGAAGGCTGTTACCCAGTTGCGGTCTTTCAGCTGACCTCTCTCTAGGCTGTAGGGAAAAGAACACGGGAGAACTAGAGATATAACTGTAAGAATTCTGAACTACTTTTGATGGACCACAGATACGGTTAGCCATAATTAAAGGAACTCAATCTCCTTTGTCTCTTGGCTCGTTCTTCACATTTTTATGAAGAGTCTGTTGTCACCTCCCATCTCCCGTGCAATGAAGAACATTGTGGCCACTGGGTTAGAGCCAGGCTTAGTCTGTCTTAGAATAGATCCATGAAAATCAGTGATTGAAATCAATAATCCAACCCATTATTTGGAGGAAGAGGATTTCTGAAATTCTACAATCCAAATTTCAATATATTTTTTGGACTACCTATCTTCATGGCCATAGCTAGTTACATATATTTCAATATATATCTTTCGTATAGTGCACATATTACATATGCACATATACATGCAGTAATCACATCAGAATGATGCCCACTTCAGTGTCTCCTATACAATAGTCCCAAAATCTAGCCACCAACTTTGCTTAGGAGACTGATGCATTATTGGTAGTTGAAATGTTTTGTTTCAGCACCAATGAATCTGCAGACTACAAGTACAGTAAGGAGAAGCTTGCTTCTGGTGAACTTGTTCCCCCTTCAGAATAGAGCCTTGGTAATTTTAATTCTTTCCAGAATGCTAGCCTTTGGCCAGCTTCGTGTTGGTTCCTGCCAGCCTTGTTCTGTTCCTCTGGCTACCCAACAGCACAAAGCCTTCAAATGAGCTTTCAGAAAACAAACGGCTGCCCATTCAAAACACAGATCTGTTTTGGAAAGGTTATTTTGTGGCAATTAACCTCTTCAGTGCTTCTCAGGACTCAGCACAGCAATTATCATTTTAAAAATGTGAAGAACTTTCACAGAAAGAAGTTCATACCACAAATGCATATTGATTCTCTTTTAACAATAATCTCATTTATCTTGATTTACACAACCGAAGGAATTGAGATTGACAAGCCAGGTAAATCTAGGAGAATCTACATAATACGCATGATAATGAATACGAGGAATGGCTGGATAAATTTTCTATGTTCAGAAAAATACCCAAAGCCTTGAGCTAGGCCCCCCCCCACTGCTCTAGTGCTTCACCCTACCACCTCCTTTTCCAGTATAATGTTAATGTGCAGCCCTGATACATAAAAAAAGAGCCCAAAATGACCCCAAGGACTCCAGAAGCTTCTTGGACATGAATGGCAGCGTCTATAATGATGGAATTCTCTATATTTTCCTCTAACAAAATAGCAAAGTCCTTTTCCTCAGGCTTGAGGCAAGCCCCCATCCCTCTGTCTGTTTGCTTCTGGGTAGGTAGGTGGGTGGGTAGGGTGGGGTCGGGTGGGGTGTGTGTGTGTGTGTTTCTTCTTTTTCTTCCCTGATCATCATCAAGAGCTCATTGTCAAGAACAGACATGTTTTTCCTGCTAAACTCTTTACCATGCTGTATGCAGTCAAATGTATCTCTCCTAGCCACCTGGTTGAGAGAACATCTCCTTTCCTTTTTCTTCTTATTCTTCTGAATGTAATTGAAGATGAATTGTAAGAAAATTTTATTTTATACTTAAGCTACTTGTAGAGTAGTTTAAGTATACACTTGTAGAGCGACTTTTATTTCTTTTATATACATAGGGCAAGTTGAGGCTAGGGTTACAATTTGCTGTTCTCTCCTACATTACCTCTTGTTGCAGGACAATAGTATTAAAGTATATGTATAATTTACATCTTGTATTACACAATCTCTCTTTCCCCCTTCTCTCTCTTACACACAGAATTTACGTCCATGTCTGTTCAGGTTCCAGTCTCCTGTTGGGGTCTGGAGTGACAAGTATGGAGGTTGCCACCTTCCATATAGGAAAGAAAGATGCTATTTGGCCATCTGACCAAAGTGAGAGATGGAAGACCTTACAGTACCATCCAAGATTAAGTAATGGTGATGGTTATACCTGCCACCTATCTACATCCTTAGTGCACATATTGCTTAGAAAGTTATCATTTTCGACTCCAACTCTTGTATGTCCCCAGTTAGATTCTGGGAATCACAGATTTGTACAGCTGACCCAAGGTCATCAACTCCAACTATCTGCGGATACAAGAAATTCACAACTAAAGCATCCTTGACGATGGCCATCTTTGTTTAAAAAATTCCAACAGTCCATGATCTTCTGAGGTGGTCCATTACATCAAACAGTTCTTATTGTCAAGAAGTGCGTCCTAGTGCTTAGCTGGTATCACCTTTCTTGTAATTTGAACCCATTACACTGTGTCTTATAGCTTGCAGTACATCTAGCCAAGTTCTGCTACTACTAAGCAGGACTTACTTATTGATGCAAACACTTGGATGGGGGACGGGGAACATGATGCAACCTTGGATCGCAGAGCGGCAAAAGGTTAAAGCCCCTCTTATGTCACTTCATGGCAGCTCTTTATTTTATTTTTTTTAAAAAACTATTAATATAGTTGTCAACTAAGTTCCATCTAGTTTGATCACAAGTCATGCTTAGGATGGTGCTCTTTGTATGAAAGGTGAGATGACATCATTCTAGCACAGCGGCTAATTCTTAAACGGAAGCCAATCATTTGATGAAACATTGCATGAAAACATGCATTTATGAACCACTCTTAAATCAAGAGAATATCCACCCAGCTCTTGCTACTAAGAGCCTTCAGAGCATATTCTTCATTTAACAAGCAGGTTGTACCTTGTGACTGGAAAAAACACATAATTAAATACTGGCATTCACATCTCTTCAATTTAATTCAACAATTAAAGGGGAAATAATACAATTATATACAATAAGTTGTATTAAGGCAATATTCTGATTTATGATTACCAAAATTAAAATCTGTAGCTTGTGCTATCACATTATTTTGGTACTAGGTTTCTTCGTTGGCAACTGGTTTCATCTTAATTACATTACAGGGATTAGTCAATCAACTTACTGAAAACAAAATATTGAATAAGAATGTTAAACATTTAGACATAGCTTGTTTCATAATGGAATTAAGTATTTGCTGATGTTCACCATGGATTTGCACAGACGTATTATACATCCATGTGGCTCACAACAAAGGTACTGTACATGACAGAAACTACTTTCATACATAGAGACTCAGCTCTATCAGAGTTATTTGCACAAGCACATATTAAAGGTACTTAATGACAGATATGGGAAATAATGCAAGCAATGGCTTGCTAAAAATTGCATTCAGTCTTCACTCATAAACTGACCTAGTCTTGAAACCATGCAAGTAAATTATATGGATCACATTCTGCATAAAAAACAACTTAAATGAAGCAGCACCCCAAATTCAGATTAATTTTAAGCATGCCAGTAAAGCCCCTTACATGGTATCAAAAAGTCAAGAACAACATCTACTCAAGGTCTGATCTATTTCTTTCTCAACGCACAATTTGACAAATCACTTCAGGATACCATACTTTACACTGCCCCCCAAGTGTTATAGTGGATGGAGCGATGGATTAGGATTCAAGAGACATGGGTTCAAATCCCTATTTGGCCATGGAAACTCATGGGTATGTGTGTATGGCACTGGTAAAGCTACCCTGTACATATCTCACTTACTCTGAAAACCCTATTAGGATTGCTATAATTCAGTTCTGACTTGATGGCATACAATATAACGTATTTAACACTAGCCTTTCTTTGTGCAAGTGGGGCTTTATAAAACTTTGAGGGAGTGGAGCTGACACATATGCCAAGAATTTAAAACTAATTGTTAAGGATCAATTTAAGGATGGTTTCTTTTGCAAACTCCCAAATGAAATACCACTGATGCTTTAAAATTTAAGCATGACTTCCATATACAAGTTTTCCACTACACAGAAAATAGTAGCTTCTCAGCTGCTGATCTTCTGAAATTTTGGAGATCACACTTACAGAGTTGCCACATCATGCTAAGATAAAAGCCCTCTTTCACCACCAGAATCCTGCTGTGGTTATTACTGTGCCAAAGAAACAGAAGCTGTGAAACAGCATTTCTCTCTCCATATGAGCCCTCTCAGCATTTAAGACCATCAGAGGAGGCCCTCCTATCGGTCCCATTGCCAGCGTAGGCATGGCTGATGGGGACACGGGAGAGGGTCTTCTCTGTGGCAACTCCCAGGTTATGGAATGCTCTTCCTGGGAGAGCAGGCTGGTCCTCTCCCTTTTATCCTCCTGCCAACAAGTGGGATGCCTTGCTGAAGCCTAACCATTGGGAAAGTGACTAAAACTGCCTCCCTTCAAATACTTCACTGCCTTTTCTTCCCTTACTTCCAGCCTCACATTCTTCTCTCCCAAATTTAGAAAGCTGAAGAAGGGGAGGAGCATGGCAGAACTGGAGAGAGTCCCAGAATATGAGGACCACTCTAGGCCCAGGCTGGATGTACTGAATGCTGAAGGCAAACTAACTACCTTTGTTAAGGGCTTTATGTCGTTAACAAAGGGATATATTCCTAAGGGCTCTTTGTCACATTACCTACAGTGGACCCTTGACTTACAGCCGGCTCCACTTACAGACTCTTCGAGTTACATACTTCTCTGGCCACAAAATTTAGGTTCGACTTGCAGCCGGAGAATCGACCTACAGACCGAAAAAAAACCCCAAAATGGAACAAAAATGGCCGGTTATGGATTAATCGGTTTTCAATGCGTTGTAGGTCAATGGAGCCTCGACCTACAGACTTTTCGGCCTGCAATCACTGTTCCAATACGGATTAATTTTGTAAGTCGAGGGTCCACTGTATTAGAAACCTGGGTTTGCCAATGATTGTTTCACTCAACAAGAGAATGCTGCTACTGCCAAGTTTGCAAACATATGTTTGTGTAACATCTTGGTCAGTATAATATAGGATTTATACAGTTTAAGTACACTATTGTACATGTACATCTATTTCTACTAACAACAAGTTGCAAGGTTGGACCTGTGCTTCCTTGGTTGAGGGAAGCAGTCATGCACTGATTTGCACACTTGGATGCATGACTGATGAGAAACAAAAAGGGAAAAGCCACTGTATGACTGCCTTTGTGCACACAGTTTTTCCTAATATGGTTTAGATGTACACTTGACAAACTTCATGTGTGAAGGCACTCTCCCCATGATACTGCTCTGTCTAGGAGTTCTTACCACTCTGAGCAACTCTTTGCCAAAGCAGATGGATGAGTGTATGTTTTGCTGCATTACTACAAAATGGCTTCTGGTATACACGCCTGGAGAAAGCTAAGATTTTCCACAGCCAAGAAACAGAAGTCTCACCTGGGTTTGGGAAGGCTTAAAAGTGGAGTCAAAGCTATGCTGCAGAGAGTCCAGGAAGGGCTGGATTTTGTAGAGGCCATGTGTTGTCTGGCTGGAACGGAAGGCCACAATATGGAAGTACTTGAGGATCTTCTCAAATCTTGACTGAGACATGATCAGTGCTATGCTCTTGTTACTATAGAAACCACTACTCCAGATGCTGAGGACAGACTCACAGTGGTGAGTGCTTGTGGATATCATGTACGCAAGGAAAGCCTTAATTTCCGTCAAGGTGACATCCACCCAAGTGTCATCACTCCCAAACCGCTCCTGGTACTTCTTGGCATACATATTCGTCTGCACCACCATGTTCTTTAGTATGTTGTCAGGGACAAAGAGTTGAAAGAAGTCCATTGCACTGGCAGTTGCTGGCATTTTGCGGGTTGGGCCTAGAAGAAAAGAGTAAAACAAGTTGTTTTCTCAAACTATCTAATACAGAAGCGAAGAATGCCACAATGATGCTAAGGTCATCCAGTCGAACTCTCTCAAATGCAGGACTGACTTACAATATTCACAATAAATGGAAGACAGCACTACAAGGCACCCATCGTTGAATTTTTAAACAACAACAAAAGTTATCTAACAGGGCAATTTAAGGCTGATTACCAAGAAAAGTTAAATGTTGGGACTGATATAAAGTGAAGATGTGGCACATCTACATAACATACCTTCTTTTACCTAACGTGCAGGTAGCAAAGAGACTTACCTATCCCTAATAAAAATGAAGGCAACAGAGGCTGCACAGCTATATAAAATGACAGCTGCCAATGGACGCCTTCAGAAGCACATGTGTAACTAATGACTATACAGTACATGTGGCATGCCAAACAGTAACTGAGTGGCCTGTTTACCTGCTTGGCATGCTGTCCCGATGCAATTTCAAGGTCGCTTTCCCATCTTCCTCTCTTTCCTGATCTTTAAACAAGATTCAAAACAGAGACTTCCCTTTCAACAGAAGACTCTTTCACATAAAGGGTTATACTATGACAACCCTTCTAATAGAGGGTTGCCTTCTATAATATATAAGACACATGGCTGGCTGAGACGCATGCCCCCTCAGAAACAGACTTAGTTCAGATCAGTAGGGCTTACCTCAAGCAAAACTATGGGTAGCAGGGTAGGCAGCTGTGACTCTCCAGATGTTGAGCAGCAACTCTTATCAGCTTTAGCCAGTTAGATGGCATGCTGGAAGTTGTGGTGCAAGATCTGGAGAGGCCTCACACCCACACTTGAGGAACGGCAGTCCTATGCACACTGCCTTAGAGTACATCTCATGACAATCAGCAGGATTTATTTCTGAGGAGACCTGTTTAGGATTATCCTTCCAGACGCTGTGCATTTTTCTTATTCAACAAAGTCTCCTGGCTTTGCTACCAGGACAGAGTCAAGAAGCAACTATATGGGGGGCATAAGCTGTTCTTCAGACTAACAGAAACCACACAGTACAACCCAACATGTGTTTCTTTATTTTATGCACTTATTGGCTATGTTTCCACATTTTAAAGGAAAAAGGCTACTCTCCTCCACCAATATTTAGACTGTCACTGAATGAACTAGTTAACTAGTTGAATACAACTCCCATCATTCATCCCTCATCATTGGCTAGACTTGAAGGGAGTTGCAGTTCACCAATATCTGGAAGGCCTCTTGTTCCCCTAATGAAAACATGTCACATGAAAAAAGTCACCAGAATTTACCATTTGGAGCTTTTACATGTTCTCTCTCTCTCTCTCTCTCTCTCTCTCTCTCTCTCTCTCTCTCTCACACACACACACACACACACACACACACACACACACACACACACACAAAGATTAGGTCAATTTCTTTACACCAAGAAAAAATAGGCAGAAAATTCATATTCCTAAGACACAATTCCTAACAAAGGCAATATTTATGTATATTTTAAAAACAGAATATACTAGATTAAGAAAAGCAGGCAAATAAATAGTAGTAAGACATTTTCCTTTCATCAGTACCACTCTTTTCTGCATAACTCTATTTTCAATAACTAGTACTCAATAAAGGGTGCAATTGTATTCAGGACAGGAAAATTGTTACATTAGAGTGCTGCTCGTTTACTCAAATGAAGATGCTCCCTGAGTGTAATCATTTCTGCCTGTACAAATGGCCCACAAGGCTTGTTTCATATGCAATAAAATATCAGATCATGATCTCTCTCATCACCACCACAACTCACGTTGTACAAGAGTTACACAAAATTTGTACTTACAAAAGTGTTTGCATAGATGCAAAAATAATGACTACAATTGTTGTGAAAAGTACAGTATTTTTTAGTATAATAGGCAAGCCCAGGAACAGGTGCTATGTGTGCCCTCTGAATCCAGGGGTATATTGTCAATGGGCAATTCTCAAGGCTACAACTCTTCCTTCTTACAGACCACTACCTTTTAACTAGAATTCAGCTGTTCAACCTATCAGAGTACACCTTCGAATAGAGCAGATCTTGGAAATGTTAGAATTTATACAAACTAGGAATATAAATCCTTGCACTTTGCTGAAAATGTTTTCTGTGTACATCCATAAATTTATACATTCTGAAACAACAAAAAAAACCCGCTGTAGTAGTTCTGGATGGGTTATCTGTAGCTCTGTGATCAATCAGACTGTCTTTTTGTACTCATTGTGTGTTGCCTAAGCTTTCCAAAAAGAGAAGAAAGTGTTCTTGAAGAATTTTTGTAAAAATTGTTGAAAACACAAAGGGAATAACTACTGTGCCACAGTCTCATACAGGAAATGAAATCCCACATGAGAGGCTGAGAACTTCTGACACGCTGTTCTTGACTAAAACAATGGCAATGATGAAATGTCTTAATGTCCCTAACACTCAGGTGTTACTCAGAATGAATCTGTTACATTGGCAGTCATGAACACATACGGTTTAATGGTTGTTGTGGGTTTTTCAGGCTCTTTGGCTGTGTTCTGAAAGTTTTTCTTCCTGACGTTTCGCCAGTCTCTGTGGCCGGCATCTTCAGAGGACTGGAGTAGGAACTCTGTCGATGATTTGTTGCTGTTTGTTGGATAGTTGAGTATTTATAGCTGTGGGAACAGCTTTTGTCCTTTTCAGGAGATAGGATGAATCAGCATGCTTTTGTTGTGGATGTTCTACCCATCCACAGGGATCAGGGATCATTGCACAAAAAAGACCAACTAAACACACCCATCAACCACAGTGACAGATGATCTCTCCCCCTTATCACACCAATACATCCACAACAAAAGCACGCTGATCACCTTATCTCCTGAAAAGGACAAAAGCTGTTCCCACAGCTATAAATACTCAACTATCAAACAGCAACAGAGTATGGACAGAGTTCCTACTCCAGTCCTCTGAAGATGCTGGCCACAGAGACTGGCGAAATGTCAGGAAAAATAATCTTCAGAACACGGCCAAAGAGCCCCAAAAACCCACCACAACCATCAGATCCTGGCCATGAAAGACTTCGAGAATACACACGTTTTAAATTTGAAAAAAATACACAAAAATGCAAAACTATTACACAATTAAAATATCTCAAAATGGACCACCCTTAAAATCACACTCTAAGTAACAAAATAGAATAAGTAATCAAAATTGCAACTGAACCCATTTCTAACCATTACAACAATGATTTATTTTAATTAATGTTGAGAGGGGTAACAAATTCTTTTAATGATTTCCAAATCCTCAGAGGAATGCTCCCTTCAAATAGTTGATTGCTCTCTACAAAGGGTAGAGAATAATCTGAGAACAGCTGGCCACTGCAGTGAACAGCAAAGCAAATGTTTGCATTTTATGGAAGTTCAGTTGTGTTGCAGCTGCTCCAACATCAAAAGTTGGCTAAAATAATAATGCATCTCCACAAAGAGCCCACTGCAACATTACAAGGACTTTCGAATGATATGTGTCCTCCTGCGCACAGTTTTACAGAAAACACTGACAGAGTAAAATGGTAGGTAAGTCTCCAAAGTGCCTGTGTGGATGCTCTCCCTCTCTCTCCCTCTAAGGTACATGTGGCTTCTGCCTATTAGACTGTGTGTACTTGTTCTACATAAAGCTAAGCCTGTTTGAGTTAGCCTTTCAAGAACACATTTTGAACATGAAAGGGAAACGATATTTCTCTTCAAGTCATTGAACAGGGGGTTCAAACCCTTAACCTTCCCCCCCTACCTGGCCCCCCACAAAGGTCGCCCAGTGTGAAGTCGGCATTAGAAGGCCACTCGGTATTAGTCTCTAGTGATTTGAATTGAGGAATGGACATGACAGGAGTCTAATATGCCTGTACCCGGTACGGCATGTTCTGGCTTGGATAAGCATGGCTGCTTACTAGACTAGTCTTGCTAGAGCAAGCAGCTAGAAGTTGGCGGGGGAGATGGGGGGGGAAGGAACTGGGTGGGGGTTGGGGA